AAGCTGGGCACAGTTTTCTGTGGCTCTCTCTTCTCCTAGGGCCAGTGGGAGTGGGTGTGCTGATGGGGACTCTTCTTACAGATTTTTTTATGATAGCTACTAATATCATGGGTTGTTGCTACTAACAATACATAGGATGATGTGTTACTTTCCTCTATGACGACTGCATTTGACCTTGAATTAGGAAACTTACATTGGAGTTGGCCCTGTCATTCAAACGGGCCTCATTCCTCATCTATTACGTGGGAAGAAGGAGTGAAATAAACCCCTGATCTTATCCTCTGTGAAAATTCTACACCAAACACAAGAGCAAGCACACAAATAGAGAAACAGGGGGGCACAGAGAGTTACCTGAACAATATAAAGATTTTCGTTGTTGTTGTGATTTATTTTTATATGTTTATTTTATTTATTTACTTTTTTAAAATTTTACTTTAAGTTCTGGGATACATGTGCAGAACGTGCAAGTTTGTTGCATAAGTATACATGTGCCATGGTGGTTTCCTGCACCCATCAACCCATCATCTAGGTTTTAAGCCCCGTATGCATTAGGTGTTTGTCCTAACACTCTCCCTCCCCTTGCCTCCCACCCCGCAACAGGTCCTGGTGTGTGATGCTCCCCTCCCTGTGTCCATGTGTTCTCATTGTTCAACCCCCACTTATGAGTGAGAACATGTGATGTTTGGTTTTCTCTTCCTGTGTTAGTTTGCTGAGAATGATGGCTTCCAGCTTCATCCATGTCCCTGCAAAGAACATGAACTTACCCTTTTTTAGGGCTGCATACATTTATTTGTAAAATTGCAGTAAAATACATATAAAGTAAAATTTACTCCTTTAACCATCTTTAAGTGTACAGTTCAGTGACATCAAGTGCATTCACACCATCTGTCCACAGAACTCTTTTCATCAATACAAATATTTTAACAGCGTTGGCATAGCACTAAAAATAGCATCTCAAAAATCAATAGGGTTTTGAATTGATAAACCTCCTTTGCAGGAATTTAAGGCATTTCGCAAACATTATCTTGTTTGTCTTCACAGTGGCCTTAGACAGAAGCAGAGAGAATAAGAGAGTGGGAAGATGAGACAGAGAGAAAGAAGGAAAAAGAGGAGAAAATGCAATTTTGCCCAATTTGTAAACAACCCAGAGAGGCTTAATGAAACATCATGGGTCTCACAGGGATCACACGGAAAATGATCTTAGAACCTGGATGTTTGGTTATTAGTTCAATTTTTATTTTCCAGGCTAGACTATGATGTCACTGGGTGATTGTAGCTTCAACCAGAGAGGGGAGGATATATTTTTCATGTTACCGAACAGCCATGCCTGTAACATTAATAGGGGCTCTCCATGGCTTTCAAGAGGATTTTTCTTCGTGGACACATTGTTGGGATGGGTGTGTCAGTCTGGGGGTGGGGACTGGGGGGAAAAGGCAAGTTTTGGCAGAGGCCAGAGTGGGGTGGGTTATTCTCCCAGGTTCTGTCGGTTTCTGGGCAGCTGCTAATAGGAGGATTTGGGTTGTAAGACCTGACTCAGTTGTAAGGCCAAGAGTAAAGCTCTCACCTGTGCAAAAGCTTTCATGGCCTGAGAATGAAAGGTTCGTGGCTCCAGCCTGTGTGCGTGCATGTGTGTGTGTGTATGTGTGTGTATGTGTGAGAGAGAGAGAGACAGAAGAGAAAGAGAGAGAGACAGAGAGAGAGAAAGACAGAAAGAGAGAGATCAGATATAAAAGAAAAAATGTGTTTTTTCCTGGTTGGGAATGAGGGATCAGATGAAGAAATTAGAAACGAAGTTTGATAAATTGTATTTATTTATTCATTTTTTAACTTGGTGAGTCTTTAAGAAACCAATTTTCTTTGGTGGAGAAGACAACAACAAGAAATTGTGTTCATTTAAAATTGTGTTTCAGGTTAGGCATGGTGGCTTGCACCTGTAATCCCTGCATTTTGAAAAGCCGAGGTGGGCGGATTGCTTGAGCCCAGGCGTTCAAGACCAGCTTGGGCAACATAAGGAGATCCCATCCCTACCAAAAATAAGAAAACTTAGCTGGGCTTGGTGGTACGCACCTGTGGTCCCAGCTACTTGGGAAGCTGAGGTGGGAGACGTGCTTAAGCCTGGGAGGTCCAGGCTGCAGTGAGCTGTGAATGCACCACTGCACTCCAGCCTGGGTAACAGAGTGAGACTCTGTCTCAAAGAAAAAAAAAATGTATTTCAATTAAACTTAGTCTTTTTGTTCCTGGAAAATTTTACAATACATTTCTGGGAGCAAGAACATGTTACTGCTCCTGGTGCAAGGTTTGAATTCCTAAGATCCAGGAACAAAGATGCATATAAACTTTGATTAAAAGACAGAAATGAACCTGAGAAACAGCCTGGCAATTAGTACTGTTATTTAGCCTGGAACATCCTTTCCAAGTAAGTGGGGAGATGGGCACTGCTTCTTAGTGAACAGATTATATAATTAATTGGTCCAGTGGTCTCCACTCAACCAGTTATATGTGTAATTGGTTTCTCACTGAGAACAAAGGGAAACACACAATAAATGCTAGCTTTGTTGTTGTTGTTGTTACCTCTGCAGCTGGCTAAGCTCTGGTGAACCCACAAGAAGACCAAAAGTAGCTGATTTCAAATCTCCTTCCTTCCTTTATTCACTCACTTTATTAAGAACCTGCTTTGTACCAGGCACTGTGCTAGAAGATGGTAGAAAGGGTTTCAGGCTTGGCCATGAATGAGTTTACAGACCAGCAGAAGGAGACAGACATGTCAGTGCATCAGTGCAACTAAACATCATCAATGCCATGAAAGACACACATGCACACAGTATAATGAAGGGAGTGATTAGTTTGTTTGGATGGTGTATAAGGAAGCAGAGAAGGCTTCTGCAAGAGGTGACGTCTAAGCCATGTTTTTAAAAAAGTCAATGAGAATTTCCCAGGCAGGAGAAGTTTGGGAGTGTAGGTGAGAAGCACTGCAGGGAATGGTGTATTTGTTGCTACTGATAAATACATATCCGAGACTGGGTAATTTATACGGAAAAAGAGGTTTAATGGACTCACAGTTCCACGTGACTGGGGAGGCCTCACAATCATGGCGGAAGGTGAAAGGCACATCTTATATGGCAGCAGACAAGAGACAATGAGAGCCAAGTGAAAGGGGAAAGTCTTTATAAAACCATCAGATCTTGTGAGACTTATTCACCACCATGAGAACAGTATGGGGGAAATTGCCCCCATAATTCAATTATCTCCCACCAGGTCCCTCCCACAACAGGTGAGAATTATGGGAGATATAATTCAAGATGAGATTTGGGTGGGGACACCGCCAAACCATATCAAATGGTGAGCAACTGAAGTGAAGGTTCATGCTCCCCAGAGGTTCTTTATGAAATGATTGCTGAATGGAATGGAGTCACTGGCAAAATGCACAGCCTGGGGGAAAGAGGCGCTCAGCTGGTCATGCATCCTCAGAAGAAAGGAGCAAGGTGGGATGAATAATGGCAAGAAGAAAAGTCATGAAACAATAAACAAGAGTAGTTGGATGATAAAAGAGTACAAAAAAGTGGAAAGGTTAAGAACAATCTTCTATTAACCCCCAGAAGAAGAATTACAAAGCACCCAGAGTTGAGTCGAATGATTAGCAGACAGGCCTTTCCAGTTCACGTTTTATTTTATTTTAATTTTTTTTTCTGTGACATCAGAAATTCCTGCTAACCTTTCCACATTAAAGCTGGAGATAACATGGCTTGTATTACACAAAAATCCTCAACAGAACTAGGGTTAAGATGATGCCATCTAGGTGGCACAGTCTCTAAGACTAGAAGTCATCATTCTCTTTGTATCTGATCCAGCCTGGTCCCACTGTCTGCTGAAGCTGCACTCCCAGAAGAAAGGGACCCCCTGGAGATGGCTCCAAGGGGCAACAATCAGCCCATCCTCTGTCCTGTGCCTGTAAACTCCTTCACCTCCATCTCAAGGGCTGGTCATGATCCCAGGTGCCAGGAGGCTGAGAGGATCAAGAGTCCCAGATAGCAGAAAACCCACAGAATCTGGCTACCACCAGGAGACCAGTTGTCGTTTTTTTTTTTTTTTTTTTTGAGACAGAGTCTTACTCTGTCACTCAGGCTGGAGTACAGTGGTATAATCTCAGCTCATTGCAACCTCCGTCTCCAGGGTTCAAGTGATTCTGTTGCCTCAGCCTCCTGAGTAGCTGGGACTACAGGTGCTCACCACCATGCCCAGCCAATTTTTGTATTTTTAGTAGAGACAGGGTTTCACCATGTTGGCCAGGCTGGTCTTGAACTCCTGACCTCAAGTGATCCACCCACCTCAGCCTCCCAAAGTGCTGGGATTACAGGTGTGAAGAGGTCTCAGCCACTGTGCCCAGCTGAGACCAGTTTTGCCTCAATTGTCAGTTTTCTCCTCTCGCCCCTTCTCAGGTCTATCACGGCAGAACTTGTCCCAGAACATAAAACTGCAGAACCACAGCGTTTTAGTGTGAGAAAAGAGCCTAGGCATCTCCTAATTTAATGGGCTTCATATGGTTTGGCTCAGTTGCCCTAAGCAATAAAAATAATTTGAGTATGTAACCTCAATGGATGTATATTTATTCATGTATAAACGACATACGTCTGTACTGATATACTTTAAGACATATACAAAAATTATATTTAAAAAGAAAAATAATTAAAAGTGATAATATTTTCTCCTGTGCCTTAATGGATTATCTTTGTTCCTTTTGGGATATGTGAATCTGTTTTAGAGACAGCTTATCTAATTCAGCCTGATCTGCTAATCTTCTCTGTAACTCTCCACCAAGAGGAAACTCAACCTTTTCATGAACACTTGGAGGGACACCCAGGCCATTTTTGGAAACATCTGGGCGTTTCTTGATTACCATGCTCCGGATGGCCAAACTGGGGGATTTTCATGCGGAATCACACCTGGACTTTGAGCCAGAAGTGAACACTTCTCTGGGTGCCTCAGTTCTGGCCCTCCCTGGATCTCACTGCAACCTGAGTGCCAGAGCTGTGAAGACTGCAGCAAAGTCCTCCAACTGCCACGGTAAATATTATCATTCCCTCTGGTATGCAGAAAAGCAAGCAGAGCCACATTTGCTGCTTCCAGGTGGCAGACACAGAAATGAGAGCAGGGCGAGAGGGGCTGGGAGGGGCTGAGAGGGTGTCTGGGAAGAAAGAGATCAATAAGGCCTCACTAGTGTGCAGTATTTACTGTAAACAGCCCAAGGTGTTTCGGGGTAGGGGGGAACTGTCAACACGGAGCAGTTCTTTCTCAGGGATTGTGGGAGCAGGTGTTCTAAAAGGAAAGATGAAGATAGCAGTCGCAGTGGGCTCCGGGAAGTCACTGAGTGTTAATGTGGCCTGGCAGCCAGCGCCACGGCACACGAGGCCCCGGCCACATTTTACACACACAGTTCAAGGTCCTGTATCGCCACAGTGTGTCATTACTTTGAGACCACGGACTACTTTCTCAATTCTTCAGCAGAGAGGTTTTATACAAAGCACGCAAATGCTAGTGGTGGAGCTGGTTTAAGGCCAAGAATCCTCAACTGACGAACAGCTCAGTAAGCCCTGGGTAGGATAAAAAATGCAGGTGTGTCTTGCCCTAAAACATCTCAGGATGAAAGAACTGGTTGGAAGTGCCTCTCCATCCAGCTTTTGGCTAACGCATTTAAAGGAGGCTCTCTTTCAACAATTAAGCTGGTGCAGGATGGAAGAACTTTCCTGCAGGTAGGGGAAAACCGCCCTCTTCCTCTTTCCCAGTTCCAGTTGCTTTTGAGTGACAGGCTAACCTGGGTCCTGAAGCCAGATTCAGAATTACTGTGGCTTTGAATTTGATCTCTTATTGTTCCATACTGAAAGAGCAATTTTCTTTTTGAGGTGAGTGAGCTCCCCGTATTGGAAGCTGCTCTGGGTGTGGGGTAGAATCTTCAGGGTCCGAGGGAAGAGGACTGAACTCAAAGGGAAAACAACTTGGGTAGTAGTGGGTGGTGAGACTATGCTAACTTTGCTTTCTTTTATTTTTTATTTTTGCTTGCCAAGAAAACGTTTCCTAATTCACCACTTCCAGAAACCTGCCTGCTTCCCTGGCCACAGGGGTAGGTATGTATTCAGATGTGACCAGTCATTCTGTCCTGACATTAGTGATTGACCCAAGGGTCAAACTGGGTCTAGCCCAGGTCCGATAAATATAAAGTAAACACCCATGGTTGCTACGTAGAAGGATGTGAATTTGGGGATCTTGGACACCGTGTTATTACCTGACATGGGAAGACTTGGAATGAAGCTGACAGACAGGTGGCAGGGATAAAAGAGAAATGCAGGCAGGCATGAAGATGCATGATGACAGGGAGAGTCCTGGGAGTGTGGAGTCGGCCACAACTCCTCGCTCTCCCCAACCCCATGTGAAACCCATCAGGGAGGCTTTCATCTCCACCTTTGAAAGAGAACCAAATTCTGATGATGTGATGACATCTCACCAGCCCCGCTTCGACAATCTTAACTCCAGAGGGCAGACGGTCTCTCCTGGAAAACAACAGTCATGTTTTATCTGGCCTCCCTGCTCTCTGCTTTGCTTCCGCATAGGATGCTTTCCATGCAGCAAAGAGGTCATTTGGTCGTTGTCTGCTTGGCCAGAGAGCTTTGAAACAGTCCTTACATTCTGTCGTTTCTCTGCTCAAACTCTCCAAAAGATTCCCATCTCACTCAGAGTAAAAGCCAATGCCTTACGGTAGTTTACCACTCCCTGCAACCTGCTGTCCACCTCTGCTCATGGTCCTCCCCATTGTTCCTTGAACAGTACATGCACGTTCCCAGCTTCACGTCTTTGTATTGGCTGTTCTATTTGCCTGGAAGATGGCAGAGCTCACTTCCTAACCCCTACAGGCCTTTATTCAATGTCACCTTAGTAGTAAGGCCTTCCCTGACCCCACCACATCCCTCTCCTCCACTCCCACAATTCTCTGTCTTCTGACACAGTTATTTTTTTTTGTAAGTTTTGCACACTATATATTTATTTTTCTGTTTGTTGTTGATGTCATAATTTTCATCACTGTGTAGCTGAAACCTGAAACGTTCAGCTGAAACACTGAATGGCCCCTGAAACCGAGTGAGTACAATGAGTTGCAATCCTGCCATTCCAGATGCTGGTCCCAGCTGTTTTTTCCTTTATTCTGCTGGTTACAACGGCAGCCTTCCCAGCTACCAGAGCCTATTAATTCCCTCTTTTGCATAGGCTAGTTTGACTTGTGTTGGAGTACTGCCATTTTTAAACCTGGAAATTTGGGGGCAGATGTGTAAAATGTCTAAAGACGAAATTGGTTTCCCCCCACCCCAAGCTTTTGATATTGCTTCAAACTATGGACTTTCAAGATGCCAATAGCTAAACCCAACACAAACGTAGAGCTTATTCGTAGTTTTCATATTACTGTCTCTTATTAAATTGTACACACTTAATTTTTTTTGCTACATTCTTAAGCCTGAATTTTGGTATCTCTTAGAATCAGCATTCTCCTGTGGGAATTTATCTCTGAAATCAAACCTAATTCAGAGAGTACATGGGGTTCAATTTCGATAACTGCTTACGGTCAACTTTTTCAGATGGGCATCTCATAAAATGAGGAGTACTGTGGTGTTAACACTCTAACTCCTTATCATCGGGATAGTGTAGGGCTGAAGTGGAATGACTGACAAGGAAACATCTGGAATCAGCTATTTTGCATCAGGAATCATGTCTCCTGACCCAGTTCTTCACGGAAGCTTCCTCTAGGCTGCAGGCCATTGGTATTCCACCTTTGCTGTCCCTTAAAATCACCTGGGTGGAGTTGAAAACTCCTTATATCCAGACTGCACCTTGGACCATTTAAATCAGATCTCTGGGGCTAGAAAAACATCAGTGAGAAAAATAGCAGGTAGTCCTGAGCATCTGCTGTCTACCAGGTTCCAAGCTATGTGCTTTACATGAATGATTTCATTTAATCCTAACAATTATTCTATAAGGTGGTACTCTTACTATCCCACCTAAACAGAAGAGGAACTAGATAGAGGTGCACAGAGTTTAAGTGGATTTTCCAGGGCTTTTTGCAGGGAGTCAGTAAAGAGAACCAGTTACTAATCTAGACAATCTGACTTCAGAGGCAAAACTCTTTCATAATTTATTGTTTATTTAAAACATGAAATATACATAATTTTATTTTATATGTGTGTGTGTATATATCTATATCTATACATATAGATATAGATTTCTATTTGTTTGTTTTTGAGATGGAGTCTCACTCTGTCGCCCAGGCTGGAGTGCAGTGGCGTGATCTCGGCTCACTGCAAGCTCCGCCTCCCGGGTTCACACCATTCTCCTGCCTCAGCCTCCCGAGTAGCTGGGACTTCAGGTGCCCACCACCATGACCAGCTAATTTTTTGTATTTTTTAGTAGAGACAGGGTTTCACCGTGTTAGCCAGGATGGTCTTGATCTCCTGACCTCGTGATCTGCCCGCCTTGGCCTCCCAGAGTGCTGGGATTACAGGCGTGAGCCATTGCACCTGGCCTGTATTTTTTTTGAGACGGAGTTTTGCTCTGTTGCCCAGACTGGAGTGCAGTGGCACAATCTCAGCTCACTGCAACCTCCACCTCCTAGGTTCAAGAAATTCTCCTGCCTCAGCCTCCCAAGTAGCTGGAATTACAGGTGTGCAACACCACACCTGGCTAATTTTTGTATTTTTGCTAGAGATGGGGTTTTACCATGTTGGCCAGGCTGGTCTCCAACTCCTGACCTCAAGCGATCCACCTGCCCCGGCCTCCCAAAGTGTTGGGATTATAGGGGTGAGCCACCTCACCCGGCTGAAATATACATAATTTAAAGAGCCAAATGTTTCTCCAGAACTCATTACCAAAAATATCAGTCTGTCAGTCCCCTCCTTATCCCCCAACTGATCTACTTCCTCATCCTCAAGGCGATCACTTTTAATCATTTTAGCTATTTCTTTTCATATTGATATCTATGTCTCTATCATTGTTTATAATGTGACTTTTGCTTTTTCCACTTTAAGCCTTGGCTCTTACCTTCCCAAATGGAAAATGAGGGTGTAGATTTCATTGTCCATTACTGCTCACTTCTCCTGATATACCTTTGATTGTATCAGAGGGGATTACGTTATTTGGACTGTGTAAGTCCTGTTAATTGTGTAAATAGCTGAGCTATGCAGTATGTTCACCATATGAGTACTCTTTCCTTACTTAAACAACTCTGTTCTTTTTACCATGTTGTAGAACCCGTTGTTATCTCTCTCAGGGTAATGATGGTTGTTGGTTTCTTGTTTGTTTCTTTGTTTGTTTTCATTGGTGGGGTGAGGTGTAATCTTGTGTTCTTGCATAGTTTCTGTTTACTTCAAGTTGCTTTTTTTGTGTGTCTCTTCTGGAATCCGCCTCAGATGTTCTGTGATCTTTGGCTGTTTGCTTGTGAGTGTCAGAGAGGTACAAAAAGCAGACTGGAAACTGAATAAATGGGGAGAAGGAGGGTTGTCTCTGCTGGCTTCACTGAACGTTTCCTCAGGAAATTCTAGCATCGGTATCTCTGAGTCTCCTCTCAGGCTGATAACATCTCCCAAGAGAATCATCTTCCGTCTCCTCGTTGGATTGAGTCACTGTGGATTCCAGCATTCTAGGAGAGTGGGAGAGGAAGAATGGGGTATTTCTGTTAATTCTCCTGTTTTCAACCAAGTACTCTTGCCCTTAGCTGGGTCTGGTGTTCCACGATTTGTAAATCACCTGTTTTGTCCAGAGAACAAGTCTCCAATCTTCCGCAGGGCACAGAGGAGGGACACTAGCAGTCCCCTCTACCACTATCATGCAGAGTTAGGAAGGGGATCTGTGCATCCAAATGTTTTGAAAAACATTTTTCACCAACGTCTTCTTTTAAGCTCCTAGTTTACCCTCCCTTCCAAAGGTACCCATGCTATCCATTCCTGAGGCTTTTTGAGGGCCTGGATGCAAACTAAGTTGCATCAGCTTTTCCCATTGGCTGACTTGGAATGCAACAGTCTAGAATGTACTCTGCCAGTGATCATTTGTGCTCCTGCTTTTAAAAAAATCATGCACATGGGCTGGGTGTGGTGGCTCACACCTGTAATCCCAGCACTTTGGGAGGGCAAGGTGGTTGGATCGTGAGGTCAGACATTCAAGACTAGCCTGGCCAACATAGCAAAACCTTGTCTCTACTAACAATACAAAAATTAGCCAGGCATGGTGGCGTGCACCTGTAGTCCCAGCTACTTGGGAGGCTGAGGGAGGAGAATCACTTGAACCCAGGAGGCAGAGATTGCAGTGAGCTGAGATTGTGCCACTGCACTCCAGCCTGGGTGATGGAGCAAGACTCTGTCTCAAAAAAAAAAAAAATTATGCACACATATGTGTATTACACAAGTATATCTGTTATATAACTTTGTGTCTCAATGTCTTTGTACTAATGACCTTATACATTGACTGAAACTTCTACCCTCATTTTACTGGGGACACAGATAGGAGTGGAGCTCAACGAGTGTGCTCAATCCATCATCCTTAATGGAGGAATCAGAGCACCCCATCACCACCTCTATTAAAATGATAGAAAGTCGACTTTCTGCCTGCTAGTGCTTGTGTATAAGCACCTCCACAAGCCTGCTTCACTTGTTTCTCACAGCCATTTTAGATAGGTCAGGAGGCCTTCATATGCCCATAGTGCACGGAAATAATAGGGCGCTTAGCCAAGACCCCATCGCAGTTCTCTTGGTATCTAACCCAGTGCCATTTCCACGTGTTCAGATTGTATCCTGGGCTATTCCGAGGACAACACTTGCAACGGAAAAGAATGATGTGCCAGAGCCTACCAGAGATGATGGTAAACCTTGATTCTGTTTATCACCTTGATTGAAATTTCACGTTCACAGCCTGAGTCTATAAAGAAGAGAAACAGAAGAGGGAAGCCTGGTGTAAAACTCTTTTATTCCGTTCTTGTCTGTCTTTATCTGCTCCAACTGTGAGGGCTGCTTACCCTAGGAGCAGATCAATGCAGAGATGGACACATTTGTAGCACCTACAAAGGGTGAGAAAAGGCAGGGGATTCCCAGGCACCGGAAGAATGAGGAAAACAGTGACCTTTGTTCCCAGGCTGGAAAAAAATGCTGTATCTAAACGGACATCAGCTGGCTGGATGGCATTTAGAAGCCAAATGAACTGCAGCTCGTTAAGTGGTGAGGTCAGGGGTTCAGCTAATTGTGGAACCACAGGCACTCCTCACTGACCCAGAAATCCTTGTAATCTATGGCTTAGGGACATACATTGTGAAGGTGATTTTTACAGTTCATCTTTGAAAATAGAAAGACGTGGGAAGCTCTGCCTGGTACACATACTGATAGTAGCTTTGCCTGGTGTCTTAGAAACATCTGCAAAATATAGCTTTCTGGCTTACATAATAAAAGGAGATAGAATGATAAAAAGAAATCACAATAAATACAGTGAATGAACCAGGCTTGATAAGGTACATGCAGAAAACGACCTTATTTTCTCTCTCCCTGATGCATTAGAATACATTTTGTAATTTTGTATATTCTGCAACGTTGGATGAAAAATCAGGAAAATCAAATAACTTTGTTGCTATTGGTAATAAAAAGTCTTCTAGGTTCTTTAAAACCCAAGCTGAGTCTCCTGGAAATGAAGCATTTCAATAAATAAAATGGCCAAGGCAATGTAGGCATCGAAACGGAAAGCTTTATCTAAAGCCAAACTTCTTTTCCTCTTCTGTTCTGTGCCTGCCTCAGGCTGAAGATCTGAGAATGGAGTTTCCTTCCTCCTCCTGCTGCCTCGTGATACTGATTCTGGCTTCTCTGGGGCTGGAGCTGAGGGGAAGGAGATACGGGAAAGGACCAGAAGGTCCTTGTTGGCGGGCACAGCTGTAATGAGACATGGTGTGTAGAGACGACCAGTTCTGCATCTCTCCCTTCTGGGACGTTTCTGATTGTGGATCTCTTGATGCAGGCAGTGCTGTGCTCTGGGCGAGCAGCTTTATAGATTCCTCCCTCCATCCTGGGGCTTCTGTGTATCGGTCCCTCTGCTAGGTCATGGTGCCTTCCAGGAAGCCGTCTGTGCTGGCAGTGTCCTCCATGGCTTCCCATGTGGTTCATAAGTGACTCTTCTCCATTCATAGCAGTCCCACCCCTCTCTCACTGGGTTCTTCTAGGTCAGGCCAGTGGTCACAGTCTAAGTCTCTGCTGTTAGTTTTCCCCAGAAAGAAGTCAGGTGCCAACGTCTGCACTCTGCACAGTTTTAGCGGAAGCAAATCAAGTTAAAAGTGATTACCCTGCTTCCCTCTGTTCCCAGCAGCACTTTACATAGCCCGGTGGGAGGGGAAAAGGGGGAAAGGTCCCCTCTCCTCCTTTGTGGGGATGGGAGGAAACTCATCCTGCCGACTTTGCACAAGCTATACCACTGTTCAGGCCTCCTCAGTGTCCCCTGCTGTACATGTAGACAGGTGATGGCGTTTGACTCCTTTTTTAAATTTACCCCTTTGATGCATTTTGAGTCTGGCATTAGCCTGGCTCCTGGTGGTTTGTTCCTGGCCTTTGGGAGCCATAGTAGAATGGAAAACATTCCCCAAATGTTACAGGTCCTAATCCCCACAACCTGTGACTATTACTTTATTTGGCAAAAAATGTGGTTAAACTGAGCATCTGTCACTGGTTAACCAATACCCTACTTGGTATTGGTCACAGGGAAAGAATACCCAACTGGAAAAAAGGGAAGCAGGATTTATTCTCTGGCCAGAGAAGGAGAAGGAGTGAGCTCTGACTCCCAAGACACCTCCTACTCCCGAAGCTGTGGGAAGCTGGGGGATTTTAAGGCATTCGCTGGGGATTTTGGAGGTTTGTAAGTATGTGCAGGTGCAAATCATAAACATGCCTCTTCAAATGAAACATGTTCAGAAAATGGTGGTGATTTTATTCCATGGGTGGGGCTTTTAGTATTATAATGATATGTTAATGATCTAAAGGCAACAAGGAGTTGCTGGTTCTGGTTTGTTCTGGGTTTGAGCCGGCTTTATCTTCCTCTGATAACTGGTGAAGGGTTCTGAAGCTGCTGGACCATCAGGAGTCCTTGTGAGCTAGCACACCAAGAGATCCAGAGACTAAAAGAAGCTGTTTAAGAAATAATATTTGTGGATCATCTGAGGTCAGGAGTTTGAGACCAGCCTGGCCAACATGGTGAAACTCTGTCTCTACTGAAAACACAAAAATTAGCCACACTGCCCTCTAGCCTGGGTGACAGAGCGAGACTCCGTCTCAAAAAACAAAACAACAAAAAAAGAAATAATATTGAGCTTTCTTAGCTATCTATTGCTAAATAAAATAATGAGCTCTTTCAGGTGTTTCTCCAGGGCTGCCCCAGTAACAGATCTTGAGATGAGATTATCCTGGATTATCCTGGGTGGGCTGTTCATGAAGTCATAAGTATCCCTAGAACAGGGAAGTAGAGGGAGAGCTGACACACAGATGAGGAGGCAGCGTGCACGAAGGTAGAGATGAAAGTATTGCAACCGCAAGTCAAGGAATGCTGGTGGCACCTGAAGCTTGGAGAGGCGAGGAAACAGTTCTCCTCCGGGAACGCCCGAGGCAGCGCCGCCCTGCAGACACCTTGATTTCATCCTAGGGATACTGATTTGGGACTTCTGGACTCCAAAACTGGGAAATAATGATTTTTTTATCGATTTGAGCCACCCAGTTTGGGGTAATTTGTTATAGCAGCCACAGAAAATTAATACAGGAATAGTAGCCAACAGTAAGGTGGAAAGAATCCCATTTTAAATCCTGTTTTTATCTTATTTTTTTAGAGACAGGGTCTCGTTTTGTTGCCCAGGCTGGTCTTGAACTCCTAGGCTTAAGCAATCCTCCTGCCTGAGCCTCCTGTAGTGCCGAAATTACACGGTGAGCCACTGCACCTGGACTTAAATCCAGTTTATAAAAGAAACAATTTAAAAAATTATGTCAATGCCTCTGAAAAGGGCTGGTTATCTGCCTTGCCTGTTTTTTAAAAATTATTTTGTATGGATACATAGTAGGTGTATGTATTTATGTGTTACATGAGATATTTTGATACAGGCATGCAATGTGTAATAATCACATCAGGATAAATAGGATTTCCATCACCTCAAGCATTCATCATTTCTTTGTGTTATGAACATTCCAATTGTAATCTCTCAGTTAATCCAAAATGTACAACAAATTGTTGCTGACTGTAGTCACCCTGTTGTTCTGTCAAATCCTAGATCTTATTCATCGTATCTAACCATACTTTTGTATCCATTAACCATTACCATTTCCCTGCCTTCCATTACCCGCCCCAGCCTCTGGTGACCACCATTCTACTCTCTAAGTGTTGATATGTTTGAGGGGCATGATTTGATTGGTGGTATCTCTGCATTTGTTACTGTCTCTGCCTGAGTAACAGTGGGGCCTTATTGTAGGTGCTTTTGTAACTTCTTAGCCCAAGTCTTTCATTAACATTGTCTCTGTGGACACAACCTTCTTGAAAGTCCTATTCTCATGCAGCATTCTTGATCAGTTAAGCTTGAAATGACACTATCTATGTGTTTGTTTCTTTGTTTCTTTCCTGGAGAAATTTAATATTAATTTTTCCCCAGGGAAGCTCCCAGAGAGAGCAGGGAGCAACTTGCCTTGTGCACTCCTTGCAGAAAGAGGATTCCCCTGTTATCGATAGGAGATAAGAGATGTGATTGACACCTCCGATGCTGAGCTGGCTCCCAGTTCTGGCATCCTGACTGGTGACTCATAGAAACTTAGAGGTATCCTAGAACTTGAGGTTTTGTAATCCGAACTCTAGAGTTTGCAAGCGAGGCCCCTGAAACCTATGGAGCTCGTTGGTTGAGGAGTGCAGTGAGCGCAGGGTCACTTCCAGAATCATGCTGGCCGCCTTCGGCCACTTGGTCACACTCTTCCTCTCTCTGTACTCATTTCTACATCTCTCTCTTTTTTTTTTTTTTTTTTTTTTTTTGAGACTGAATTTTGGTCTTATTGCCCAGGCTGGAGTGCAATGGTGCAATCTTGGCTCACTGCAACCTCTGCCTCCCGGGTTCAAGTGATTCTCCTTGCCTCAGCCTCCTGAGTAGCTAGGATTACAGGTGTCTGCCACCATGCCCAGCTAATTTTTATATTTTTAGTAGAGACGGGGTTTCACCATGTTGGCCAGGCTGGTCTCGAACTCCTGACCTCAGGTGATCTGCCACCTCAGCCTCCCAAAGTGCTGGGATTATAGGCATGAGCCACTATGCTCAGCCTCATTTCTTCATCTCTAAAAAGGAAAGGAAGGCAGGGGCAGGAAACTTCCCTGTTTGCTCATCCAACAAACAGTTGTTAGGCAGTGACCCTTTGCCAGGCCTCCAATTAGGTGCCAGAGTTAAGAACATGAATCCAACAGTTCCTGTCTGATGGAATTCAGTCTGATGAGCCACATACTTCCCTCGGATCCCCCCTTTCAAGTTAAGACTTACATGGACGTCCACCATCTATACCAGATAAAAGCAGAAGGGCTGTGGTTGCAGCAGATGCTGGGGAAGGCAGCTAGAGACCAGGTAACTTGGTGCCCCATAAACTTGGTACCTCCTACTCCCTTGACTGCTCCTAGGGCCTCAGGAACTCTAAGACTCAGTAGTATCTCAGCGGCAAAAATGCAATGTAGAGTCCAGCCCAGCATGGCGACTACGAGCTCTGGTTCTGGGGATGTTCAATTTGGTTTCTGATTGCTGCTGCTGCTTCCAAGCTTTGAGCTCTTGTTCAAATTATTTAATTCCTCCATGTTTTAATATTGTCATCCATAAAAT